CAGATAACTCTAGCTTTAGGTGGATGTAAACAAGCCAAGGAGAAAGTTTTAGCAGTGGTCCAGGCAAGAGGTGATGGTGGCTTAGGCTACAGTGAGGGAAATAGCAATGGTTTGCAGCAGACAGGTTAAAGAGATATTTGGAAAGTAAAGTAAAAAGACTGATGAATTTGGAAGGATGGTAGGGGGCTGCCAGATTTCTGGCTCTGGAGACTGAGCGAATAATAGGATCATTACACAAAATAGGGAACATGGGAAGAAGATAGGTAGATTTGGTTTACAGTGGATGGGGAAGGAAAATAGTTCCAACTAATAAACAGGGAGCAGAAGTAACTCATTGAAGCAATTGACTCATGAAACCATCAGAGTCAGCTTGGCACATAAGTGAGGTGGGCTGTGTCCTGCAGGCTGTGATGTTCTTGGCATGAAAATTGCTACTGAACTTCCTATTGCCCCCAGTGCCTGCAAATGCTTTCATCCAAGACAAAAGAGGAATAAATGCTGGTTCATTCATCCATTCAACAAAGATTTATTGACTCCCCACACTATGCTAGGTGCTGTTCTAGACACTGAGAGTAGAGCAATAAGCCACAGATGAAATCTATTACTCCATGTGACTTGTAGTCTAATAGGGGAAGCAGACCACAGACACAGTATGTAAGCAAACTGTGTTAGAAAATGACAGAGAAGAGTAAGTGGGGAAGGAGATTAGGAAGGTGGGCAAGGCGGTGCAATTTTAAATACAGTGGACAGAAAGTCTCACTAGAAAAGATAACACTTAAGCAAAAACTTCAGAGTTAACAACAGCATGTAGTTATCTAAGAAAATAACATTACATTCAGGGAGGAAAGTAAGCACATATTCCTGAGTTGAGAGCTTGGCACGTTTTAAAAATCAGTAAGTAGACCAGATGCTTCAAATGAAATTAGGGGGAGAGTAGCAGAAATTGAAGGCAGAGAGTTAGTGGTGACAGGGTGGAGGGGGAAGGGGGAAGTATGATGATTACATTACAGAACATCTTAAGACCCAGGTAAGAACTTGGGTTTTCTTCTAGGGCATATGAAAAAAAACACCGAAAGATTTTAGGGGGAAAAAGTTAAGAGAAAAAAACTTTTGTGTTTACCCTACATATTTACTGTCCTCTTTATCCCTTTCTGTAGATATGAATTTCCAACTGGTATCATTTTCCTTCGGCCTTTTAGCATTTTCTATAGCTAGGGTATCCTGAAGACAAATTCTCTTTATTTTTGTTTAGCTTAAAATACCTTCATTTTACCTCAATTATTGAAGAATATTTTCATTGAATATGGAGTTCTGGGCTTACATGTTCTGTTTTTCTTTCAGCACTTAACGATGTTACTCCATTGTTTTCTAGCTTTCATTGTTTCCGATGCAAAATCAGCTGTCATTCTTGTCCTGTTTTTGTTCGGTGTAATGTGTTTTTATGTTTTCTGTTTTGTTGTTGTTGTTGTTGTTGTTGTTATTATTATTAACAGTTGCTTTTTAATTTTTTTTTAGTTTTTATCCCTTTGACTATTGATGTGCCTAGGTATGACTTTATTTTTTCACGTTTGGTGTTCACTGAATACTTATCTTGGAGCTTTTCATCAAATTTGGAAAACTTTCAGCCATTCTTGCTTCAGATATTTTTGCTGCCTCCCCCCACCACCCCTACTACTGAGAGTCCAATTATAGATGTATGTTAGACACCTTGGTAGTATCCCTTGGGTCACTGATGCTCTCTTCATTCTTTTTAAATATTTTTTTCTCTCTTTGCTTCAGTTTGGATAATTTCTATTGATGCTTTTTCAAGCTCATTGATCATTTCTTCTTCTTTGGCCAGTCTTTGTTAATCGTACCCTACACACTTTTCCTTCAGATATTGGCTTTTATAGAACTAGAATTTCAGTTCTGGTCAAGATGGTGGAATAGACAGTCCCCAGCATCACTCTCTCCCAGAAATGAACCAATTTACAACTATATAAAAAATCAACAATAGCCAAGCTGGGGCCACTGGAGCTCAGGGGAAGAGGAGGAGAGACCTAAGGAGTGCATGAAAGCAGGAGAAGCCACAATGAGAGAAAGAAAAAACTGCTCTGACCATTTTGTGCCACAGCCGCTTTAAGGCTGGAACTGCTGAGCACACAGAACAGGAGCCAGCAAAAGCCACAGCTGTGCCCTTTGGATGGAGTTGGCTGGGGAGGGCAGGGGAGAAGAGGGCCTTGGTGGCCCCCAGGCCAGCAAGACCACTAGTGAGTTTCCTGTGGACCCACATAGGAGTGGGGAGCCACAACAACTGAAAAAATGGAGCTACTGAGAGGCCAGTGAGTTATTGCAAAGGACTGGTGCACAGCCCGTCCCATGGGAAGTGTTTGCAGCATGGGCAGTTGGAGAGATGGGCCCACCAGGGGAACACTGGGGCACAGCAAGGACAGCTGATCTGCACCCCAATCAGCAGAGGACCTCTCAGAGGAGATTGGTCAGGAATGCAGAATTGCATGGGGTGCAGATTGATGAAAAGACTCGGGCCCAGATCAGAGTTACTTCACAACACAGGTGCACCAAGTCTCTGGAGAGCCAGAAGTACCTATAAAGTCAACCATTATAACCTGTGCTGCACAAAAAGCCTTCCCTAGGGAAGCAGCAGCAAAGTGGCAATTTAGCTAAACCACAGAGCTCAAGTATTGGTCCTAACAGGAAGTTCTCCCACTTTAGAAGTAAGCAAAGAACAAAAAAATTAGTTCCAGCTCAGACACACCACCAGCACCTCAGGTCTGCCCGGGGATGTGAGGGATGGAGTCAGAGACTGGACCCCCCTCCCACAACCAGGCACACTGCACCAGCACTTCGGGGCCCACCCAGGGGACCCAAGGCATGGATCCAGGGACCAGACACAGCCACAACCAGGCACACCACCAGTGCCAAGGAGCATGCCAAAAACATCACCTCCATGTGGGTGGCCCACTGCAGCCACCACAATAACCATGGCTGCCACGAAAGTGGCTAGACGCCACAACCACTACGCAGATGGTCCGCCAGCCGCTGGAGTGCATTGACACAGGAGAGTCACCAGCAGAGATAAAGAAGAAGATGTGTCTCTCCACAAAGCTCATTCCAGAGTGATAGAAGAAGCATCTGATCTACGATAATATTGGGGGACCTGATCACACCTCTCGGCAGTGGACAGATCATCTAGGCAACAAATCAACAGAGTAACCATTATTCTTTCAGAAGGAAAGAAGAAATCTAGGGTAATTAGAGGGGGGAGGGGGAAAGGTGAGGGGGATGGGGCAAGATTGGACAAGGGGCATAAAGAATAATTACGATTTGTAACAATATATGTGCTAGTAATATTGATATGATCAACATATCTCAGTGTTGAACCCCCAAAATGTGTATTATCAATTTTGATTCAATAAAAATTAAGAAAAAGAAAAAAGAACTGAATTTCTACTTGATTTGATTTTAGAGTTTTCATTTCTTTCCTTAATACTATATCTCTTCTTCTATTATATCCATTTTTTCCTATCATTAGAAATTTTGAAAAAAAGAGTGATATAATGCATTTTAACAGGACTACTCCAGCTTTTGTACTAATTATTAAAAGGTCAAGGGTAAAAGAAACAGGGCCGGCCCAGTGGCGCACTGGATAGTGCGCCGCTTAGGAGGCGCAGCAGCGCTGCCGCCCGAGGGTTCGGATCCCACATACAGACTGGCTCCCACTCACTGGCTGAGCGAGGCGTGGGAGCAACACCGAGGTTTGCAATCCCGTTGCTGGTCCCTGGTCCGGTACGGGGGCAACACTGAGGGTTGCGATCCATTGCCGGACACGGAAAAAAAAAAAAAGACAAAAGACAAGGGTAAAAGAAACAGGGAGACCAGTTAGGAGTTTATTGCAATATTTCAGGCAAGAGATGATGGTGGCTTGGACCAGAGTATAGCAGTAGAGAAAGTGAAAAGCAAGTGGCTATGAGGCAGGCAACTCGCATGGTGAACTGGGTGTTGTGAGAGATACCTAACCAATACGATGATAAGAATTTCCTAAAAGGAGGTATTGCCACAGAAACGGGACTGAGAACAGGATGCATCCAGAGATCTGGAAAAGTTGATACATAGAGAAAGAAGTGTGGAACTAAAACAAGGCTTTATTGTTCTGAGCCATCAGAACTAATATACTTGAGATCATCTAGTCCAATTTCCTCTTATTACTGATGAGGAGCCTGAGACACAGAAAGAAGCATGGACTTACCCAAAGCCATATAGCAAGTTAGGCACAAAATTAGGATCTAAGCCTGCAAGAATATGTGCTTCCTTACCATGGGACTAAACCAGCTACATGAAGGGAAGGGAAGAGAATGGAATGGCCATTGACGGAGCACTTACTATACCTCGCACCACAGGGGTCATTTTTTCTTTTTTCTTTTTTTTCTTTTTAAAAAAAGATGACTGGTAAGGGGATCTCAACCCTCGACTTGGTGTTGTCAGCACCACACTCTCCCAAGTGAGCTAACCGGCCATCCCTATATAGGATCCGAACCCGTGGCCTTGGTGTTATCGGCACCACACTCTCCTGAGTAAGCCACGGGCTGGCCCTCAGGGGTCACTTTTTCTATATTTAACCCTCTATTTCTGAAAAGTAAGCACTGCTGTTCTCATTTTCCACACGATAAAAATGAGGCTCAACAAGGTTAAGGAATCTGCCCAAGAACATACACCCAGAAATGGGGTAGAACACAGATCTCTCTAAAACCTGAGCATGTTTATGTGCATTTCTGCATGAGCTGGGATTTTGCTGTAGTAGGATCCAATCAGGAGTATGAACACAAAGGACTAGCATTTCTCAGCCACAGTCTTATGTTTATTTAGGAAACAATCCTTCCCAGTGAACTGGCCTAAAATTCAAGATCGACTGATTCATCAAGGCACCCCTGCAGACAAAGCTGGCAGAGTAGAGGCTTCAACTCCTTTCCATGGGTAAGAAAAATTTCTACAGAATAGGCAAGATGGCCTTAAGCGAGAGCATTCAAGGTAGAAGGGCCTGCACCTGCTGGCCATGGGGAGCTACAGAAGATTTGGGAAAGGACAGGAGAGGAGTATTATACCTTGGGAGAGGCTGATCCAATATGACCCCCATCACAGTCGATTTCCAATGGGCATCTGGAATTACGACCCCAGAACCAATGGCTCCTATTTCTTTACCTCCTACAGCTTCCCACCAAAACCTGGTCTCAAAGATCTTCTGTTTATGCTGCAGTGACTGTCAGGAGCCTTATGCCATCGATGACTCCAAGGTTCCCAGACAAACCCAAGATCATCAGCCATTAACTCGTGGTAGGCACCAAATAAGAAAACCCTGCATGGCCTCTCTAGACCACAGTTTGCTCATTCCCCTGCTGCTGAGTCTTCCTTCATTCCCAGACTTCCTTCATCTTTTCAGTAATGACTCCAACCCAAAATGAAATGGGGTTGAGTAGCTAAGTACCCAAACCAGCAAATAAGAGAGCTTTTAAAGTCTTGCTACTTAAAATGTGGTCTATGGACCAGCAATATTGGCATCACATGGGAGCTTGTTAGAAACACGTTTTCAGACCCTGCTCCAGATCTACTGAATCAAAACCAGCATTTCAACATGATCCCCAGGTAAATTTGAATGTACATGATAATTTGAGAAGCACTGGACTAAAGACTATAAAAATAGTGGTTAATATCCCTGTTTTAGGGGCTATACATGCCAATTCGAATCTCAGCTGTGCCATGGAAATTGGGCAAGTCACTTAACCTCTCTGACCCTTAATGTCCTTATCTACAAAAGGGAATATTCATAACACATTATTACTTTTCATGACAACTGAGAAGGTAAAATGAGGCAACATACATAATCACCTAGCAGAGGGCCTGCCTGGCACAAAGTAGGCACTCGACAAATATAAGCAAATGGAAACTGTATATAGATATTGGTCAGGATAGGATAGTCTCTGCTGTTAAACAAGCCTTGAAATCTCAATGTCTTACAAAATGAAAGTATTTCTCTTTCACGCAAAACCTAGTACACATCAACCATCCCTTTTTTATCTCTAGCCAGGGCATCCAGAACATGAGGCAAGGGGAAAGAGAAAGACAGAGAAGACACCCTGACTTTAGTTTGGAATCACATCCTTCCTGATGATCCAGGGCAAGAGGTCATAGCAGAGAAGACTGGTGGTCAAAATCATCAGTTTCAGACAGGAAAAAAATTTTAAAAGAATCATGATTGTCAGGATCAGGCAAAGAGGAAGTAGCTTCACAATAAAAATCAAGAACCTTAAAAATGTCAGTGTATTTTCCCAAGATGATAATAACGATAATTAGCCAGCCAATTTAATTGGTTAGAGTGTGGTGTTAAAAACACCAAGTTTCAGGGTCCAATCCCTGTACTAGCCAGCTACCAAAAAATTAATAATAATAATTACCAAGCCCTTATTACATTAGGACACTAGGAACCCAGCTGTGATCAGATAAATTCCCTACTGTTTCAGAATTTACATTTTACATTTTACTGGTAAAATGACATTATTTAATCCCCACAATACCTCTAAGAAGTGGACATTATTATCGAAAATGAACATATCCTTTTGAAGATATGAAAGTAGAGACAGAGGGAGGTTAGCAATTCATCCAAGGTGTGAAGCTAGTCAATGACAGAGCTATTTACTCTACTACAGAACACAATGTTCTATTGTTGGATGTTGAGAACGTTTTCAAATTTTACTACTGTACATACTGTTGTGATGAACATTGATGAAACTTAGAAGTATATCAAGATGAAGCCTTGTATACAACAATGTTCATCACAACAGTATGTACAGTAGTAAAATTTGAAAACTTTCTAAACATCCAACAGTAGAACATTGGTTGAATAAATCTTGACTTATCCATAAAATAGAATATTGTACAACCATTAGTCCTAAAAATTTAGTGACATGAGAAAAATGTTTATGATGTAATGTATATGGAAAAAGTAAAATGCATACATAACACATAGGCTGTGATGGACTGTGCAAAAACATGCACAAGCAAAAACCAGAATTGTGATAATATCTGAGGGAGGAGTGTTTCAGAGCATTTTTTCCTACTTCACACTATTCAGTATTTCCTAACTTTTCGATAATGGGTATGCATTCCATTTACAAGTAGAAAAGGAGTTGATATTTTTAATATATATATATTTTTTGAATCCATCACCTGCTTTTGAGGGGAAGTGCTGGAGGGACAGGAGGAGGTAGATTCCTGTACTCCCCCACCCCATAATAACCACCACTTGCCTGTGTGCACTGCTTCAGAGTTGGCAAGACGCCTTCATTTCCAAGACCTCATCTGAGCCTCCCCATGTGACCCATGGAATTATCATTGCCAGGTTTGCAGCTTCAGAAGGATGAACGTACAAGACAAAATCCCAAGCGCACAAAGGCAGCCTCCTGCTTGCCTGCGGGACAATCCCTGATCCATCCAGAAAAGAGAAGTTCTTCCAGCAGCACTGAGTTTGAGGGTGAGTCCAAAATTGGGGTCCTAACACTGAGCAGGAACCCCCCCCTGGAGAAGGACCTTGTCATGATGACCAGACCCCATTGCTATTTGAGCTAAGCCAAGCGGGGTGATGGGAGAGAAGGGGCCACTCCTATCAGGAAGCTGCAGTCATATTCCAGAGCATACTGGGAGAGTCCAGGGATCCAAAACCTGACTCTGTGGTCTTGCGAGCTAGAAGTTACATGAGGAGGAGTGGGTCTGGGAGGAAAGGACACATATCCATGCTTTCCTTCTACACTCTCGTGGCATCATCTTAAGTGTGTATTTTGTGTGATTGTTTGTTTCATGTCTACTTTGGTCCAGGAGGGCAGGGCCCCATCAGTTTTGTTCCCTGTTGTTCCCCCAAACCCAGCCAGGAGCATGGCAAACAATGCCAGAAAATGCTTGTGGATTGAATGTAGTTCAGTTGGGGGTGAAATGTCTCCGGGTCATGGAAAGACAGATGACCAATCCAGGACAGTAGCATAGTCAAGGAAGAAGAAATGCAGCCACGTTGCTGGACACCAATTCTGTGGCCACGTGGTTTCACATAGCTCACAACCACCCCATGAGGCTGGGCTGTTAAGAGCTCAGGATCATCTAGGCCAGTCATTTTAGAACTCGCCTAACAGCTAAACTCTGCTTGCAAACAAAATATGATGCAAAGTCCAATTTCTATAAAAGATCAAGGAAGACCTGCTCTACTTGAATCGAGGGTGGGAAGCTATGAGCCCCCCTAGATCCCCACTGCAGCCTACAGACGGGAAGGGACTTTCCACAAGTCCACCAGGGAATGACATTAGTGTCTGAGCCAGGATGGGCCCAAGTCTCCTACTTTTCATGCCACTGTGCTTTGCAAGACTCTCTACCATCATTGAATCCACCAGTGCAATACAAAATAAAGCCTGCCGCAAACAAATCCTCCCAATCACAAAGGACTTCCACATCCTAGACTGGGGTCCACCTTGGCTCCCTCAGGATTCAAGAATCTGAGGAACAATCCAACATGGACACAAACCACCATGACAGTTCATCTCAGCCCAATTCAAAGGCCTTCACCCAGCCTCATTTTTCCTTTCTTCTTTCAGATCTGACTACACACTATTCCCAAAGAAACTTTTACAAGAGGAACCTAAACCGCTACTCTCAGGAGCACTGGCCCTTCCAGCCGTGCCTCATTGGGAGACCCTGAGCGTTCTAGTCGGTGGCACCGTGTGGGTTTCTGTGGCTGCACAGCTGCTGGAGTGCAGCGTCTCCATGAGGAAGAGGGCAGTGGACAGGTCATGAAGACTGATTCAGAAACTCCCCTGCAGGAGGAGAAGACGTCTGAGCCATTCCTGTGCCACCACCAAGAGTCACTCCAGCTCCTGAGAAAGCCACCGCAGGAGGAGCTGCCTCCAATAAAAGTCCTTGGTCACATCACAGGATCATGCCCCTTCTCTTTTCCCCTCCCCCATACTAGGAAGTGTCTCCTCTAAATGTCTTATCATTTTTAAATATATTGTCACATCTAATGACCCTAAATAATTTTTTAACCATTTGGATAACTTTTGAAATAATTTCAAATTTACAGAAAAGTTACAAGAATAATACAGAGAAGTCTCTTTTACTTTTACCCAGATTCACCAGTTATTTACATTTTTCTCCATTTGCTTTGTCATCTTTTCTATCTCTCCCTATTATTTTTTTCCTGAACCACTTGAGAGTATGTTTTGCAAATCATGCCCCTTTTACCTCTAAACACTTCAGTGTGTATTTCCTAAGAACGAGAATATTTCTCTTACATAACTACAGTACACTTATGAAAAGCAACAAATTCAACATGAATAAAATACCACTGAAATTTCTTCAGTTGCCCCCAAAATGTCTGACAGCTACTTTTTTGCCCAGTCTAGGATCTAATCCAAGATTATGAATTGCAGGTAGTTGCTGTGTTTCTTTAGTCTCCTTTAATCTGGAACCCTTTTGTCTTTGTCTTTCATGAGCTTCACATTTCTGAAGAGTACAGGCACAACTGTTTTATAGACTGTCCCTCAACGTGGGTTTATCTGATGATTCATTACGATTAGATTCAACTTTTCCATTTTTGGCAAGAATATCACCAAAGCGGCATTGTGTCCTTCTCAGTGCCTCATATCAGGAGGCCCCCTGATGTTGGTGGGTCCCATGATGGGTGATGTTAACTTAAATCACTTGGTTAAGGTGGTGTCTGCTGCCAGGTTTCTCCACCTCAAGTTGTTATTTTCCCCTTTGTAATTAATGAGTAACTTGGGAGGGGATATTTTGAGACTCTGTGAATATCTTGCTACTCATCAATCTTTCACCCACTAATTTAAGCATCCATAAGTGACTTTGCCAAAATCAACTGTTACTATATTTGCCAGAGTGTCATTTTTCTAACTCCTTTCAAGTTCATTAGTTAATCTTCTACTGTAAGTGTGTTAGTCCGTTTCTGTTATAACAGAATACCTGGAACTGGGTGATTTATAAGAAAACAAAATGTATTGCTTACAGTTTTGGAGGCTGGGAAGTCCACAGTCCAGGGAACACATCTGGTGAAGTGACTCTACAGCAATGCAGGGGCCTCACGTGGCAGAAAATGGTGGAGCACAGAGAGATAGAGACTCTCGTGTGCTCTCTTTTTAAAGCCCTCAGAACCACACCCATGACCACCATTATTAATCCATTCACCTGGCATGGTCCTACAATCTAATCACCTCTCCAAAGCCCCACCTTTCAATTACCATAATAGCATTTCCCACCCTCAGCAGTTACAGTGGGGATAAGTCATCAAGGAGGTTGGGGGGCATCCAATCTACAGCAATTAGGAGAAGCTTTTCTTCTTCCCTTTTATTTATTTGTATGTTCGTTTATGTAAGTTTAGATTCATGAAATCCTTATTTAATTAAGGTGCTATAATCCATTACTATTATTATTTTGATGCTCAAATTTGCCCATATCTGGGCAATGAGAGCCACCTTGAAGCTGGTGGCTGGTGTCTGTATTTTGGCAAATCCTCATCACTCTTTTAGCGCTTATTTTTTGGCACACAAGACATTCGAGATTCTTATTTTTCCTGGAATCAGCCATTTCTTCAAGGAGACTTGTTTCTCCTTAGTGAAGAAGTGTATTTAGAATCCAGGATCTCAGGGCTGGCCAGTTAGCTCACATGGTTAGAGCACAACATTGTAACACCAAGGTCAAGACTTTGGATCCCCATACCTTCCAGCCGCCTAAAATAAGCAGAATCCACAATCTTGGTGTTAAACCTGTTCATCTACTGGGGTGCTGTTATTTTTAACTTTTTCAGTGGATAGAACTAGGAAATAAACACACACACAGATACACGTATATGTGTGTGTGTATATATATATATATATATATACACACACACACACACACACACACACACAAAGAGACAGAGTGCGCTAGGGAGAGAGAGATGATAAAAACCAGTAGTTCATACTGATATCTCCAATCCAACAGCACAGGATTTATGCTAGTTTTTCCCCTTTTTCATATTTGTAGTTCCTTTCTCCATGCGAGACCTGGATCCCATTATCCTCATTAGATTTGCTCAATCCTGGAATACACAAAAATTAGTTTCAAAATTATTGCAGCTTTTTGTCTACCGATGAAAGGTTTATAGCCAAACGGTGCCTTCAAAAATTGCTTACTACTTTCTGTTTTCCCTCTCATTGTGGTTACATTATTCATTCGAAATAGAGTTGGGTTCATTTGTTTATATTTGTATTTAATTTTAGGATTTTTTTTTCTCCCATTCTTGTTGCTTTAATTTTTCGGAGTATATAAAACATTAGCCTGGTTCCAAAAGTCAAAAC